TTAATACCTTTATTTTGAAAACTGGAAGTGAATGCGCTGTTTCTCCGCATTTACCATTATGCTGAGAATATAACACTTATATACTATATACTTTAGGGCTTCCGTAGATACCCAATGATGGTCACACTGACACTGTGAATATAATAAAATAACATTTTTCAGCAGTAAGTGAGACAGTGTGGGTCCCTCATTGTTTTCAATTAAGTAAACTAAGTAAAAATTGCTCAATTGTTCACTCATTGGCTATTTCCAACATAATAAACGGTACTCAATAGTGAGCAGTAAATTGGGATTTCAAACACCTATTAATCATCATTTTGCATCATTACTGACGGCTATAATTTTTGCTGTGAAACATGAGGAGCATGGCATTGTAAGGATGTTTGCTGCTCCACTGGATTTTTGAGGGCACTATACAGTATAATAAAATTGTGGGCAGTAAATATAGTATTGATTGAACAACAACAAGCCTGCTGTATGTATTAATCTAGTTTCTGTATCTTTTTTTCACACCCTTTTCCACACAGGGCACATGTGTGAATGACAGTGATATTCTTGCATATTTATTATACAATTAAAATCTGTGAGATTGCAAGTCAGTGTTGCATTGCATTGCTGTTCTGCGTGTTGATCAGTCTCCATATAAATTCTCAAATCTGCTGCCTGAAATAATAAGGCATAAATAAAACCAGACAAAAACAGCTAAAAAAGAACCTTATGCTGCAAAAAACAGTAAAGAAGCTGCTATGACAAAGTACAGCTCAGCTTCAGAGTGCTCTGCTTTCAGTTGGGATCAAGGTAGCACTTTATTTGAGAAAAAGGCAATCAAGTGTGTCTGTTTTCATTACAAGAGAAAGTATTGCTTTGTCAAACTTCAGCAGAGTCACGCCACGGTATGAAAAAATACAGCAGAAGACGTGTTGGATGTGCAGATCTGTAAAATACTCTACACTAAACGCAGTTTGTCAAAATAATGTGACATGAAACATTGTGAGGCGGTACAAACTATTTCTGTACATAATATAACATAGTTCTGTAGAACCACTGCGCGCACGAAAAGACAAACTACTTGTTTCGGACATTATATTCAGCATCGGGGAGTCCTTAACATTTCCACAAGTTAATGGAGCGGCTATTAAAACAGCTAATGCTAACTAACACCTATCTAACCTGTTAGTAATTTTAAGATTTTGAGTTTCCCATGGCTTTGGCAGAAAATGTAATAAAGATGTGAGATGTACATCCACTGTAGCTTCCACAGCGCTGTAAAATAAATAATGAAACTGAATTACTCGCAATAGAAAATTCACTGGATCTTAAATATCCAAACTCTCTCTGATCACAGCATTAAAAAAAGAGCACTGTCAAGGACTCTTTTTAAATATGAATGACTGCCTGAAATTTCAAAGAAAAAGTGACCAACAGCACCGAAAGACAGACATGATCAAACTTGCGCAGTAAGTAGTGGAGAAAACACTGTTCAAACTGTCTTGGTTGGAAAATATGAAAGCTTTTAGTGCCGTCAAAGTACAACCACTTCATGAAAGTTTTTGCAGTTTTGTAGTCACAGACCCATGACCCATTACACTTCCTCTTTCTCTCGCTACCTGGTTCAGAAACACATCCTGCACAACCTAGCATCCACACACACAAATACACCTGCAAAACAAGACCCTATCGATCTGTCTTTGGACAGCGAACATATTTAGTCAGCAGTGCAGCCTTGTGGAAACAGGCATGGCTGCCGGTTCCCCTACAGTAGATGAGATAATGAGAAAGGAAGCGTGTCAGCTGAAAGCTGCGGTCACTGAAAAGGTACACAGCCACGCAAATT